GCGGGTCTACGGGTGGAGGGGCTTTCGGGCTGAAGTCTTCCCCTCCCAAAATGGTAAAATTTAACCATGTTTTACAGAAAAAAAATATTAAAAACTATCTCTTAAAGTATTCTTGTTCGTGTATTTCCATTTAATAGGACGTCAAGAACCACTTAAACACCATTTCATATAGGTAGGTAATTTATTTCTTTTTTTTTTCTAATTAATTATCGTTACATGTATATGAAAAAAAAATCTTTCGGGCTGAAGCCCCTCCCCCAAAATTAAATTAGGGATATCCTACTTACAATCGAACAGAAGATCAATCAATCATAAGGAGATAATCTATAAACAAATTATAGCTGATAAAAGAACGATATGGTAATATATCGGCCTTTCATTTCTATCCTTCATGTACAGAATGGTATTGCTTAGAAAATTCTTTTATCAATCCTCTAAGGGTCAATCAATCGCATTATTGCAAAGACCGACGTATCGGTCATATGGTCTGTTATATCGAAATTGGTAACATTTCATTTGGAATATGCACACTTATTGCTAATAAAAAAGTCAATTAATCGTCAAGAGATCAAAATATACGTAATACAAAATATACTCGGTAGCAGATTTAGTTACCGATATATCGGCCTTTCATTCCAATTGTTCATGGACCGCATGGATTTGCTTAGAAAATTCTGAATAGCTGAAAGGACGTTTCAACCAGTCTTCTAAATGATCAATCAATTGAATGATTGATAAAATTTCATTTTAAATATTCAACTTGTTGCTAATAAAAAGGTCAATTAAACGTCAAGAGATCGAAATATACATAAACGTGAGCAGATACTGATCGGCCTTATGGCCTTATTTTATCGAGATTGGTAGAGTTTCACTTGGAATAATATTCTTATTGCCAATAAACGTGCCAATCAGCCGTCAATGAATCGAGATACATATATTAATTTGATCAGATAAAGATATTCCAAAGACCGATATATCGGCCTTATTTTATTTTATTCTTATCTTATTTTAGAGATTAGTAAAGTTTAAGTAGAAACATCAAAAGCATGTTAAGTGAATCGAGCACGTTAACTAGAAATCGAGCACGTTAAGTGATCTACATATACATAAATTTTAGCAAATACCAATACTCCGAAGACCGATATATCGGTTTTTCTGCTTTATTTCATTGAGATTGATAAAGTTTCATCTGAAATATTCTCTTTATCAGTGTATAGACGATTTAATCAAACGTCTAGGGAATGAATTGAAATATGAGCAGATAACGGTACTCCAAAGTCGGATATATCGGCGTTTCCGATTTATTTCCTCTTACACTTGTAATGTTCTCCTTATTGTAGAATTAAAGTTTTAATCAATCGTCATCACCATCTAGGAATCAATGGATCGGCCTTAAAATATCACTATTATGTTATGTTTTATTTTTTTAGGTATTACTATATAAATACTAAGTAACTAATAAATAAACCTTTCATCCCAATTTACTCACCTAAAGAATCAATTGAACCAATTATAATAGAAACCATCAACATTAACTACATTTTATAGCTTGTAAAGAGGTATTTATTTATTTCATTAAGGGAAATAATTATATCGGCCTTTTGGCTATAACAATGGGTTCAATTAATTCTGATAAAAATGATTCAACATTTGAGTAAGTTAATTGAGATGGATGGTTTATTTATTAATTTCATAGAATTTATGTAATGAACACTTAAAAAACAAAAAAAAAATTATAAAGATATTTTAAGTCTTTAGAATATCGGTATCTAGCTCGGTATATAGAAAACAGAAGAAACAATAGTGAAATTTCCATTAACTTAGAATAATTAGATAATATAGAATTTCATCAAATAGTCTTTATTTCAATACCCCAATCCATGAACTATATATTTTTTCTTATAGAACTGCTTCCTTCAAAAAATATTTATGCTACCTTACTCTGGAATTATTTACATATCACCATTCATCAAACTCTATCTTCAACTTTATTTGAACATCAATTATTTCTCCATCTTCTCAATTATCAAAATATATGTAGAACAATTTTTTTTAATATGTTCATATTATATTTTTTATTTTTTTTGTTTATTGCTGAAAAACTACAATCAAACCTACTTATATTTATATAATTTCAGTATTTTAATTATTGTGAGAGAGCAGACAAATATTTCTGGGATTGTACACTTGTATTATTTATGAGGGGCAAGAAGTCGCAGAATAACATTAATATTCATTTATTCATTCAAATAAATTTTTTTAACCACCTAACACTAATTAAATAGTCGAATTCCTATTCAACGATGGCTAGTTAATATTTAAGTATTAAGATCTATTATCAGCCCTAAAGTTATCTAACAAATGTTATGTACTCTCAACAATGAAATACTACTTGAAAAATATTTTCAGCAATTTTCTCAAAGCATTCTGGTCACAATATTATGATAAACCTGTTTTCACACCATTCAAGAATGACAATTGATGGATTATTTATCATCGGTTCATTTCAGAAAGTCATAAACAGAGACCGGATTTCATATCATTGCACATTTTATTCCCTTACATGTAAAAATTTCAAACAGGGTTATCTATCAGTTTAAAGATGTGTAGAATAATATATTGAAATTTGATATTGCATGTGTTACTATTTTTAGCCTAAATTACACCATTTTTGTATTTTTTTTGAGTTGAACTAGATGAATTATAAGTTTGTTTGTTTGTGTGTGTGTGCGTGCGTGTATTTATCATTATATTTTACTATCTTGTCCATATTAAATAATTCTGTGATAAGCAACAGTTTGAATGAAATGCAACAAAAGGAAGAAGTAAGCAGAAGTGGTAAATATTCTTGGAATAGGACTTGCTTGAAGTATTGGACAGCAATAAAGAATGCCTTTCTAGAATAAGCTGTTTTTTAGAAAGATATTTATTTTTATTGTTTTGAATTGATTTCTCACTCATTCCTCTTATTCATAAAAGTATTCTTTTATGTCTGGCTTTGAAGTGAATTATAGTAATTTTATAGCCCTTAAAAATTTAAAAAATGAAATTAATAATGCTGACAGTAGGATCTAATCTCTCATCAAAAATTAAATTCTGGATATCAAATTAGGAATCGAAATTTGCTTGGAAAGTTGCATCTGTATGCCCTGTGAAAAATCAATCAGGTTTGGTAAGAAATCACAAGTAGACGCTCATTGTAGAACAGGTAAAAAAAATATTTCTATTAAACAATTTAATGTTTTTTGTTTTTTAGAAAGAGCCTATGTTGAATTTTTTTTTATATAGAAAAAAAAACATTAACAATAGGTGATATTGAGTACAATAATTAAATGATTGAAAATCTCAAGTACTGCAGTGGATTTCTAAACTTTTCTTTAAATTCTTAAGAATTTAATTTTCAATGATGCATTTTAATTTTAAATTAATTTCTTTTTCTGATCACATATAATTTTAATTAAGAAGTTCAATACAAGGATTAATAAAATTTTGATGTATTAATCTAATAAATTTTAAAAAATTGATGATATTTGTACGTTTCCACGTGTTAATTACATATTTTTGGTTTTACTGCACTGATTTTGCACATTTTGAGTTTTTTGCTGCACATTTTTTACTGCACAAAGATCTAATCTCTTGTCATAAAGTATATTTTTGATGGAGCTAAACTTGTAAGCACTTTTTTAAAAAACGTAATACAAATAAGTGCATAAAACTGCCTTTTATAAACTAAGTTACACTACATGGACAATTATCTAATTTCACAAAGGAAAAATTCATTAAAGTACTTATTGATTTAACTTTATGAAATTTTACTTAATGATTTCTCACAAAAAATCCACAATATTTTTGATATTTTTTAGTAGTCGAGCTTAAAAATAATTTTAATAGCTTCCATAGAAACATTTAGTTTCTGTTAAATAATAATAGTTTTCAGAAATTATTAGCTATATAAGTTTTTCTTCACTCTCCATTAATTGCCATCACTTTAATGTTAGATATTAATTTTTCTAAAATCTTCAGCTTTCCAACAGAAAATTGATAATATGTATTATAACTCTTATTTCTGGAAATTTGTTTTTAACCTCAGAAAATGTTTTTCTTTTTTTCAATTATTATAATTTATATAGTTAATATTTATCCTATTGTTATTAGTACTAACAATGAAATATTGTTAATTATTTGAAATAAACCATATTAAAGGTACATTAAAGGAAGAGAACTTAAAAATTTAGGATTTAAGACACGTTAGACTATTTCAGTAATTCAATGAGGATACCACATATCTGATATTTAAAAAAAATTATACATTGATCCAACAACATTAATTAAACTATTTGGAGCCATTTGTTAGCATATTTTAATTTTGGGGCAGTCAATTTGAATGATATAGATACAGTTCTATTTAAAACTTATACCCACCTTAAATAAAAAATTTCAGTTATGTACAACTTTATGTTTTAGAGGTGGACTGTCCACATAAATAAACATATAGAATATTACTGGATTTGGTTATTTAGATTCATGAAGTCTTTAAACGCACATTTCTGATGGAAATTCAGATTCAAAATTTCTTTTCATAATTGCAATAATTTGTCTTACTATACATTTCATACATAAGCACATGAAAGTGATATGTAGTTTTTCAACAGGATCATGAAAAGTAAAAAAATTATGAACAATAAAACATGAACCAAAAAATATAAACATCCAAATATACCAACAAAACTATCTGAAGCACATCAATGATGTTATGCATAAATCTAGACTTCATTCATACTAATGAGCAATTGTAATATCATTGCTCATTGAAGTAAATAATAATAATAATAAATTTTAGAATATAACAGGGATATTTTTTTTCAACATTAAATTATTATTTCCTACCAAGCTCAGGAGGTGAATATATTTTTTTCCAGGCAAAACAATTTTTTATGCTATAACTTTTAAAAATTGTAATATATCCCAACCAAAGCAAATTTAAAAATCCTAAAACATACCTCAGATTTCATAATGGGCTCGACAAGACGTTCTTCTAGCTCCTTTAACTCAAGCCACTTAGAACCAGTAAGATCCCTGTCATAACAACATAGTTGAAAATAATTATATAAGTATTGAAATTTATATTTGTCATGCAAATAAAATAATTAAATTTAAAAATTTTAATTAGCTTTCAGGCACACAATTTTTGATGGATTATAACTAATAATTATTAATTATTATCATTATTTAGTTCAGTAATCAGAAATTATATCAGATATTTTAATAGTCGGTGTTATAATATCAAGTATTTATATTATTTATGAATTTATTTAGACATTAAAAATGATCCTTTTGTGAATTGTTTATCTAGAAATCTTTAGGCACCATTAAAAGTAAGTTATTGAGATATTAATACTATACTTAGAAGACCCAAGAGTTGAATCTATATTTCCAATCCTTCTTCCACTGACCCCAATAATCAAAACTTAATTATATTTAACTTTTTAGAGGTTCCTTCATTATGATTCCCAACGATATTAATTATTTTATCATTAATACAGTCCACAATTTTGTATTGTGCAGTCTCCTGAATTCTCTACCAAATTCTCCCTTCTTAATTTAATGTGAGATAGAACATAGCAGAGAATATTTGTTCATTTTAATCCAGTTCTATTCTTGAAACAAATTATATAATATAAAAAATGAAATTATTAGTGCCCATAAAAAATTAAATATTAGTACTTACAGTGGTTCAAATACATCTGTTAGCTTCATAGCCGCTTTTTTCCCAACTTCCATGTCATTCAATGCTTTTAAATGATGGTATCCTTCCTAGAAGAACATAATTTAATTTTAAAATCAACAGAAATGAATGAATATAAATTAATATTTTCAGAAAAATGTTTGCAATTTTTGAAACACAGGAGCTTAAATAAAAAAAAAAAAAATTGTAGTTGATAAACAAAATTCAGAAAAATGATAAGGGCAAAAAGAAAAAACAGAGCTTACACATTTTAGACTCAATTTCCTTTCCTTAAATCCTTACAGATATCTTTTTCAAAGGTAATTAAAATCTCAAATTAAGAGTGTACAATTATGATAAAACCTATAATAAATACTACGATGTAAAATCCTGTTCTAATATAAGGCTGTGACACCTGGACACTAACCAGCAAATTAGAAAGAAGTATTGAAAGCTTTGACAGGAAAATCCATCCAACCATAACCAGAGTGTTGTGAGTGTACATATATATATATATATATATATATATATACAAAACAAAAGGATACAAAACTAACTAACTTATAAAGTTAGGGATTGGTAAACACATAATCAGGTATGGAATGTTTATAATGTTAGAATTTTTATAAGTTAGTTTTTAGCCAGATTTGTATTTTGTTTTGTATTAATTCATCTTTGTTATTCTAAGGGGTCTTAGTCCCAGAATAAAGTTCTATTTTCTATTCTATTCTATGTATGAATTTAATCAAATTCTCGCCAGTACTCCAAAAAAACATACTTCCGCTTTCAGATCACAAAATGTATTTGACATGACTATAGGATTGAATATGGGTTGTTCAATCTGACCCAAACTTGGAGGAAATGAGAATAGTTCAGAAATCATTTAGTATTAATTTCATTTAATTCCATTCTATCATTAAAATTAATATAAATAACTGTTAACAATATGGTGGCTGTGAAATATGGAAGGAATAGATCATGTAGAGTCGGAGTTAAGTTAATACAATATTTTTATGAAGTTATAAAATTTTAGGTTTTATTCAAAAAGTTAATTTATAAGATATTGTTTGTTCGATTCCAAACGTTTCTGGGATGACAGTTACTGCCACTACATAGATTTCGTGTAATTTTCAATAAATTTAAATTAATTTTCCCTCTGAGTTTGTAAAAAAAAATTCTTAATATTTATTTCTATTGAAGTTCAACTAGTTCATCATGGATTCCATTTCCTCCTTAAATATCAAAGTTGAGTAATCATCACGTAGATTTTTATAATTCAGCTTAATTAGTTTTGTTCTGACTGAAGAAAAATATTAGTCTTGTTAACTCCGAACAAAAAAAAGTTGAATTTTTCTTATGGATTTTTTGTTCCATCCATTTTACAAGTAAAAACATACCTATTAAGTAAATATCACTACTGTTATTGCAAAAGGTGGTATGAAAAAATTTACAATTATATTCTATAATTGACATTTTGAAATGAAATGAAATGAAAATATTTTTTTATTATCCTGGGACTGTTGTCCCTTTAGGACAAATTATAGATACAGAGAAAATGCCTGTGTGGCCATACATTAAAATAAATATTTACAATTCTCATTAAAATTAAAATATTGGAAGAAGAATAAAACAAAAACACTAAAAACATACAAATATATATAATACAAACATGAGAAAATAAAATAACATAAGTAAACAAAATCATTTCTGGGGAACTTAAAAAGTTCTCTTATTTACTTTTCATGATCAATCGGGTTGGGAAAGGAATAGGTGCTCAAAAAGGAGAAATTTAAATGAGGAACTGATTGCGCATGTCAGATATCGGGAGGGATGGTATTCAAGAACAAGGCAGCTTGAATTATAACGGATTTCTCAAACACAGCAGTTCGGTGGGGAGGTGGATAAAGATCGGAAGTACGGGATCTAGTGGGACTGGATTGAATGGAATATTTAAATTGTAGGCTGTGAAAAATATCGGAAGGCCGCTGAGTTCTGATGGCTTGGTATAGAAAGGTAGCAAGGAAGTACTGACAGCAGTTGGATGGGTAGAGCCACTTTAACTTGGTGTAATACTGGGTTATATGAGTATCTCTTGAGATTCCGAAAACAAAATGTATTGTGCAGTTCATTAGGCGTTTAAGTTTGGTCTCGAATTCTCCTGAGAGTCCACTGTACACCAGACAGTCATAGTTGAAGTGGGGAACAAGGGAGGAAACCAGGAGTTGACGGGATTTATATGGAAGGAGATAGCGGAGACGGTTAAACTACTTCAGTTTTTGTAGTCTGTAACTGATATAAGTAGTCTCCTACAATGGAAAATATTATAGGGCAATAAAATATGAAATTATACAAATAAATCATGATGAATTCATTAGTTTTTATGCTCTCCTGTAAAACTCAATTTTTACATATGACATTTTGCACTAACAGTAGCAATAATTTTTTTTTAATCACAAATTATCAAATATGCAATCTACAAATGCGGAACTCTTTTGCATTTTAGTATTATCTGATGAACAAAACTATTAGTATCTGATCAAACACCTACATGTTAAGGGATTACTAAATTACTGAAAAAAGCTTCTCCAAGAGATTTTATTGTCATACTAAAAACGTCTGCCAAGTAAGGTCAGTATAGCTTCCTCATCGTTTTCATTGGTTAAAATATTAAAATATTACAACCTATACAATTTTTCGTATGAGAATAGAATCTCAGGGAGAAGCTGATTCGGAAACACAATTACCCTTCAACATTAGCGGGTTTGATATCCACGAATTTCGTTTATTAGCTAATATTAAAATGCGAAAGAGTGCCGTATTAGAAGATCTCATATTTGACTATCCATATTAAAAAAACGAAAAAATGTAAACTGAACATGCATTTCACTATTGTTAATGCAAAAGGTGGTATGTAAAAATTGATTGTTTTGCAAGAGTGCATAAAAACTCATTATTTCTTTATGCTTTATTAGTATAATTGCATATTTTATTGCCATCTGCTATTTTCTATAGTAGCAGACTACTTATATCAGTTGCAGACTACAAAATGTCACCTTCAGCACAAATAGAATAAAAGTTGAAAATTTTTACATTCCATTTTTTGCACTTATAGTAGTGATATATACTTAATAGGTATGTTTTCACTCGTAAAATGAATGGAACTAGCAAATCCATAGGAAAAATTCAACTTGTTGTTTGTACGGAGTTAACGTGACCAATACTTTTCTTCAGTCAGAACAAAACGCTTTAAGGTAGAAAATATAAAAATAAGGGTGAAGTTCACATACACTCTTCGATATTTAAGGAGGAAATCGAGACCAAGATGAAGTGGTTTTACTTCAATGAAAATAAACACAATCACAAATAAGACGTTGTTCTTCTACAAACTTAGAGTATAAATTACTTTAAATATATTGAAAATTACACGAAACCTAAGTAACGGCTGTAAGTGTCATGCCAATAACGTTTGGAACCAACCAAACAATATAGTATTAATTAATTTTTTTAATAAAACCTAAAATTTTATAACTGCGTAACAATATTGTAATAACTTAACTCCCTCTACATATGATCAGTGCCTTCAACGTTTTGCAGCCATTATATTAATAATTATTTATGTCAATTTTAATTATTAAATAGAATTCAATGAAATTGATACTAAGTAATTTCTATACTGTTCTCTAAATTTCCTCCAAGTTTAGGTCAAATCGAATGCGCTGTTTTCAAACTATAAGCATATCAAATAACACATTTCCTGATCTGAAAGCAGAAGTTTTTTTTTTTGGAGAAGTAGATAGAATTTGTTAAATTTGATGCCTATTCCTTTTATGTTTACCGATCCCTAAATTCCCTCAAAATTTGAGCCAAATCAAACTTGTGGTTTTAGAGATATAGACGTATCAAGGAAAACACGTTTGCGCATATATAACAGAAAGCAACTGACAAAATTCATTAAATTGAAACTTCATTATTTTTTCACAAATATCTACGTTTTATCCAATTTTGAGCCAAATCGAACAAGCCATTTCTGAAATATTGGCATAGCTACAAAAATGTTTTTTCGCATGCAGAAGTGCTGGTTAGAATTTAATAAAATTGATATGGGACCATCCAGACACCAAGGTGCACAATTCCTAAAAGTTTTATGAAAATTGGATGAACGGTAGAAGGTGATGTGCCAGTTACATCGATTTGACTACAGACAGACAGACAGGCACCGAACCAAATTTGATCCTTGATGTCTGAAACGTAAAACAAGAGTGGAAATTTTCGATTCTGAGCACAAACCTTTTTTTAACCTCTCGCACGAATACAATGCTTCCCTACCTTCGGTAGTGAGGAAATAAAAATTTTAGATTTTGTAATAGAGATATTTTTATCTAATGAAAACGGTGAGAAAGCTATACTGATCTTACTTGGCAGACGTTTTTTGTTATAGTTTAAAATTTTATGAAAAATCTAATGGTAGTAGTGGCCATTCTGCCAGAACTGCAAAAGAGCCACTTAAAACGAAGGGGTTAGGACATTGAGTACACCATGTAATCAAGGACTTTCTACATTTTATCATTAATAGAAGGCAATAATACTCAGTATTAATAATTATACTGAGAATATTATGTGCATTACAAAATATAGTTAAAACTTACATGTAGTATGCTATAAAAGTTTGGCTTTCCAGTATAAAAGAGAAAGTGGTAGGGTCGTCCAGTTTCATCAAATTCTGCCTCTTTCTTTAGTGGGTACACTAAATGAGGTGGCTTTAAAAATGGCCTCGCTTTCTTTTCAAACAAGCCTGAAGGGAATAGATACTCAATAGCCTCCTGTTCAATAAGACATACATTACTGATCAAAATTTAAATGAAATAAAACACTACTGTCATTCATAGTTTCCTAGGATCAGATAATTATATATTTCTTACATACATCTATCTGTTCTTGGGAAAATGTTTCTGCATCACAGCCCATCATATTAGCCAAATGTCTTCTACCAATTTCATAAGCGTCACGTTCTTTTTTCATAAACTCATCTTAAAAAATTAAACATAATCATATGAAATAAATTTTCATGTTCTCATGTAATGTATTTTTATGAGAAAAATCAGTATAATATAATACAATCAACATCAAGTTTATCATATATTCTCAAAATCCCCATGCTTTATCCATATCTCATCATCTAGCTGATGATGTCTTAGCTAGACATGATTAAGAAATGAAGTGAATAACCATTTGTCATATGCAGATCATAGCTTTTTATACAGTAAAAAAAAATAAAAAGTAACAAAAAATGCAGAATAATATGCAATAAAAAAAAGTACAACAAAATATGCAGCAAAATGAGGAAAATGCATAAAAACATCTAAATATTCAATAAGACAGCGAAAATATTCAAATGTATTAATGTGCCTACAAAAGGTTCTGAACTAAAAAAGAAATTGGAAGAGCGAATAAAAATGAAAGACAAAATGTTTCATTTTTCATAATTCATCATTATATAAATAGGCAAACATAAAACTGTTTAGCACCTTTTACTCCTCTATTATTCAACCGATTTTCTTTCTTCTTTTTTTGTTTAATAGCTATTGACGAGCTTAAGTGTTATCAATAAATAAAAATACGAAATAGTATGTAAATAAAAATATAAGTGGTAGTTAGTTCAAATGTCTAATCTCCGAAAGTTATTCACCGATTTATTTTAAATTTTGACACAATGTCGCAATAATATTTAGAAGTGCTTTGTATACATTTCATTATCATTAGAGGCTTTTCTTTTCCAAATGGTGGCTGAAAAACATGATTCGCTTTAGACTGTAGCGCCTTACGGCTTCAACGATTTCAATGAAACTTGGCTAAAGTCTTCCCCTTAAAACATTTATAATTTATGTATAGCTGCATTTGCTATGACCATAATCAAATCGCAGGGTCAAAGTTTTGGAAAAATGTGTGTATTATAGCGACGTCCAGTAATTTCGCCTGAACAATTATATGTGGCAGCAAGTAGAGCACGTTCATTTCAAATATTGAAATTTATATTTTCAATGGCAATGGGCAAGGCCTTGCACTAAACAATAACAGAACATTGTTTACAGAAAAGTTCTGAATAAAAATGGATTTAAAGTGAACTGAAATTGCTAATTTAAATTTATTTTTTACTTGCTTAATCATAACATTAATTTATTGTGATAATAACACACATAAATTAAAATGGAAATTAAATATTTGTGAATGAGTCTATTTTGTATTACTTATAAATAATCTTAAGTAGTTTAAGCTCGATTTTTGATTGAAATTGAAATTTTGTTTATATTAATAAATGAGGATTTTTGAATCGTGATTTACTCTTCATTTATTTAATTTATTTTTATTTAATTATGTTTTTCTCAAATTTTTAATGGCTATGGTCGAATTTCGACCACTGGGTGAACACTAATAATAATAAAAACAATAAAATAACAACAAAAATGTGAAAAAAAAGGAACGTGTATTAATAGTCGAACAACATAATATGTAACACATTTAAAAAATAAAATATCAGTAATACAAACTTGAAATACCAAAAGAAATAAGGAAAAAGATACACACACATCTATATGCTATAATAAGTATATTTATATAGACCTATATATACATAAATATAATTGCCCGCTGAAATCTGTGAAGCCGGCAAGGAAGTGAGAATTACTAATTGGTGACCAGCAAAAAGGAATAAGAACACTTAATATTTCTCTCATTAAGGAAATGGTTAATAAAATCCAGATGCATGTGGTGAGTAAAATTCAAGTTATCGAGATAAAGCCAAGAAAGCATCTTACTATGTACAAATCCGAACCCTTAGACAGTCAGAATAGGCCTTATATCAGAATACATTAAAAAGTCCAATGGTTGATCGTTATTATTACATAATTAACAAATATTAGTTATTCAATTGTGGAAAGAAAAATTCTAAAACATTTATCTTCAGTCTCCCATGATTTCACAAAATTTAACAAAGTAAACTTAATACAATTAAAATTTTAAAATTGGGTCAATGTTATTAAATTGGCAACTTTTTAGAAACTTACTGTACTTCGTAGCCCTTTCTAAATATGCACGCATAGCTTTACTCATTTTTTTGTCTTTTCTGTCAATTTGATTTTCTTCTTTTACTGCAGAGCAAAACCATAAAACCGAGTTTCTCTGAGTCATCTAAAAAAAAAAAGTATAATTATTAATTTTATTAAGTCATACTTTCTTGAGTGCTATTCAAATCACAATGAACAAATCATTAAACTATCATATAATGTATTTCCAAGGAATAAATACTTTTCGACTTCCTCCATTGATTTCTGTCATTAGCAATGTTTCAAGTCTATTAGCTTATTCTCAAGTCTTCATATTTTGTGATTCCATTGCCTTTTACTACCAGTCCAACAATAAAAAATAAATCATGTCATTAACATTTAATGTAAAGTATGACAATTAATAAATATGATGCTAGATAGTCCTTCTCTTTCAATTGCTTAAAATGGACTATAGACTATAGATCAGGAATCTCAAAAAGTTTTGGGCTGCAGACCACATTGAGACCTCCACTAAGTCCCGTGGACCGCATTGAGACCTCTAGGAAGTCCTCTGGGCTAGATTAAGACCTCCACTAAGTCCTGTAGACCGCATTGAGACCTCTAGGAAGTCCTCTGGGCTAGATTAAGACCTCCACTAAGTCCTGTAGACCGCATTGAGACCTCTAGGAAGTCCTCTGGGCTAGATTAAGACCCCCACTAAATCCCGCAGGTCGCATCGAGACCTCTAGAAAGTCCTGTGGGCTAGATTAAGACCTCCGCTAAGTCCTGGGGGCTATGGCTAATGATGAAATAAAATAATGCCTTATAAATGGCACTTCTGTTGTGAAATGAGCTTTCTGAGAAAAACAATTCTCAAGCAATACATGTTGCAGAAACATCTTGTTTCAATGATTCACTAAATTTCATATTTATAAAATTTTACCATGTAATCAAAGAAACTTTTGCAGGAATTTTAGTTTAGAGAGACTTTTTATAAACTATAGTCCATTTTTAGCAATGGAAAGAGGACTGCCTGGCATCATATTTATAAATTGTCATGTATTTCATTGAAAATCAAATGTTATTGACAAGATCTGTTTTTTAATGTTGGACTGGTAGTAAGAGATAATGAAATTAAGAAATATGGAAACTAGCAGATAACTTGAGAATCAGCCAATAGACTTGAAACATTGTTAACGGCATGAATAAATAGAAGAAGTCAAAGGGTACTTTATCCGTAGGAAATACTTTGAATCATACTACCTGAAAGTAACATTGAAAAATATATATATGGATTAGTAATTAAATACATATAGATATCAACCATTATAATATTTATTTCTTAAATTGGGCTAGTATAAAGACATAAATAGATTTGTCTAGAGTTCCATAACTGCATTACTTTTATTTATTTTTTTTTTTTTTGTGACATGATAAATTAAGTTTCACTATTAAAATTTCAAGATTATATACAACAGTAGAAAATAGTAGTACAAAGGGAATACATTAAGAAAGTATTCTTCAACTGTACAATTGATGCTACAAGTAAAGTGGGTCCTCCTGCCTGGACTATTGAATTTCACAATTCCAGACAGACCATGCAGGATTTAGAGCCAAATTTCACTATCTTGGTATGGAAGAAAACCCTCTATGTGCAAATTCAAGCAATTAATTCATCAAATTCAAATTCAAGAAATATATTAATACCTAAAATGATTTGAAATACCAAACATTAGGTTCTCTCTCCTATGGTTCCGCTAAAATATACTCATTTAAGATAAATTAATGAGTAATAGCTAAATGAGTACTGTTCAGAATTAGTTTTACTGAACGAGACATTCATTAAAATAAATCAGTCTAAATTCAAAGGATAGTTCTGTTTGAGCTTAACTATCCTCAATAATGCATTAACAATTAGGTAGAAAACGTTGGAATATTTGGCATTTTTAAATAAAACGTTAGTATACACCATCTACAAAAGGGGGATAAAGATATACAAAATATGATTTAAATAAATATGTCCATAACACAATTAAACGTAATTCTTATGAAAATTATTCAACTTTTTAAAAATAGGAGATTACTAAAGTGAGCAGAATTTTCAGGGCCCTTAAACGTAGTGTATCATACAGTTCGAGAATAAGTGGTATATTTTTACAATTATTAAATGTAAATTATAAAAATCGAACCCACTCTTCCAACTGCACCTGCTAGGGACCGGTAGTCACCAAATAATTTTCGAAGAGATGACATAATTATAACTTGTTTTTGATTCCTTCTTATTTATTTCTTGTTGATATTGAATTACATTGGTGATAAATAGGTTCACAATAAGAATACCATTACGATAGAAGGTACCCACATTATTTTTAACCTTCGTAGTTAATAACAATGAGCAACAGTTACAAAGAGAATAATGTTCGACAATTACACTTCAACACAAATATCATTTTAATCAGCCAAACTTGCCTATGTGAATTCAGTAATTCTTAGGTGGCAATTCATTTCTTGTCTATTATATACAATAAAACAAAATAAATATATATATGTAGCTAAATTTCGGTTATCTATTCTTAATCTATCTGTATATTACTTAATCTATCTGTATATTACTAATTATTATTAGCTATGCTTCAACACCTTCCTATTAACAATTTACAGTATATTTGCATAATTGCAAAGATTTTCATAAATCTTTTACAATCTTGGCATTTGTGAAGACGGACAGTATTTGAAAAAACATGCTTGAAAATGCTGAAAAATCATTTTCTGTTCGTCATTGATAAATAGATTGGTTACTTAACGTATTTCACTAATTTAATTTTTTTAAAAATTCAAGCACAATAATGTTATCCTAAACAATTATCAAAATAATTCAAATCAAAAAATATGTTGTTAGTCCATATATTTAGAACACAGTCAACCGCAGGTTTTCAAATTTATTTGTTTAACTTGAGGCCCCTTACATGGTCAATATTATTGAATCAATATCGAGTATTGTCAATATATTGACCGTGTAAGAGCTACATTGGCATAAATTATATTGAGGTCAATCAAACCCGCTGATATCAATTTTCTTTTATTTTTATTGAAGCTAGTTTAATATTAGTGAAACGGTGTCAATATTGAAATACGTGTAATTGAGCAGTATTATACCACATATATGGATCTTGAGAAGCTCTAGGCGATTATCGGTGCATCTTGGCAATATTTTTGAGTAGGAATGGAGGGTGATACATTTTATTTTACTTTTTTAGAGGAAGGGGATTTAACCATCCCTTCAAATTTTTAAAAGATAAAATGGATATATGTTTCGGTAGGTGGGTGATACTTTGTTTTACTTTCATTTTTTGGAGGGTTTGATAGTGAAATTATGAACTAAGTGAAACAAATGGAGAACATACTCTACACCATCAAAACAACGAGGCTGAAGTTATATGGGTATGTGAAGAGTATGGGAGAGGGACGATAGCCAAAAAGAATTTTTGATCGGAAACCGTTTAGAAGACGGAAAAAGGTCGCCCGAGGAGAAACTGGTATGAGGGCGTAAGTGAAGGAATGATGAGTAGCTGTATACGTGAAGAAGATTGGCAGGACAGAAGAGAGCAGACTTATATTTGGTGACGATGTTGTAAAAGTTGATAAATAAAAATCAATCGAACCTCATTTTAAATGGCAACCTAAATTAGTTTTTCGAGACAGTTTCGGAAACGCAGTTTCCGGGTCGTCTTACGATATTGATTTTTACTTGTAATTGAAAGTCAGTTCTTATTCAGCATTTAACTAGGTAATTAAATATTTCTGATTATTTTATTTTTAAGCGTTTCCACTTGCCCTCCTTGTGTGAAGGACCACGAGCCCCGAGCTCAGGCGGGACCACAGGTGGCGGATAGTGGACTTGCACTCCCGGACCATGAGCGGCAGGCGCCAACAGAGCAGGGGAGGGTGGTCAGTGGTGCGGCCATCCACAAAAATACTCCAGAGAGCCCTAAGACGGCGACTGTAACGAGGCGAGTGTGTGCCGCCTCTAAATATGCACAACCACTCCCCCATCAAACCTCTGGTCCTCCAGGTTGGGGGTTGTCATTTGGGTCAGCAGCTCATTGACATTAAATTTTTCTCACTATAAGTAGTCAGAAAAGAGCCTCTGATTCGGATAGTCATAATGGAAGCAGACTTTGGAAACGGAAACGGACTTTTCATTTTGGTACTTGGAATATTCAAAGCTTCACCAACAAAAAATCTCTGGAGCGAAAAGAAGTGGAGATAGCAGGATTGGATCTGGTCGTACTCAAAGAGACCAAATTGGAAGGAAAGGGACAAGAGATATCAGGTGAATATGTGCATATCTGGAGTGGTGTGAAAAGAGATGTGCGAGCCAATGCAGGTGTTTCGGTTCTGATAAAGAAACACGCCAAAGAAAAGATCACATATTGTGAGATAATATCGGCAAGGATTATCCGTGTAGATATGGATATTTTTGGCAGAAAGGTCGCAGTCATAGGCGTCTACGGTCCTGGTAATAGCGAACCCCCGCAGGATCAATTCATAGAGGATTTCAGGCTCGTGCTGGAGAAGATAAATGGGAGTGACGAAGACATCATTCTTGGGGATTTCAATGCACGAGTGGGCCAAAAAAGAAGGATATAAGAAGTACCTAGCGTCAAACAGGGACCAGGACTGGATTGCCTACAGAGCTCTGAAAAACCTGTAAAAGAGGAAGTTGTAAAGGAGAAGAATAATTCCTGAGAGATGCTGACAGAAAATAGATGGGACACGGGGCTTCAATCGAGTGAGAGAAGCTTGGAATATTTTGAAAAGCTTGAGGGCACCACGTAAGGGCAATGTTGTTTCTTCTATCAGTGAGGACACTTGGAAAAACATTATGAGACCCTCCTTAACGAAAGTAGAGCGAAGTTTATGGCACAAGAGGGCAACGCACAAGAAGACTCCAAGCCGGACTATCTGCAAGTAACGGAAGAAGAAGTGAGGGCTGCTATTGGCAGAGCTAAACGCCGAACAGCTCCAGGGGGCTTGTACATGGAAATTTTAAAGGCCGGTGGGGATAAGATGCTTACACTCCTTACCAATATGACGAACAAGGTCCTGAAAGGATGTGATCTACCTGATGATCTCCGAACAGGATACCTCTGCTCCATCTTTAAAAAAGGAGATAGGAAGCAATGCCAGAATTATCGCGGCATCTGTTTACAGAGCTCAGTAAGTAGGATTGTTGGGAGACTTGTTTGATGACTTGTAAGTAGGAATGTCAGGAATAAGCTTGAAGGGGTTACACCACACCAATGGTACAAACTGGCTTCACTGCGGGGAGATCCTGTATGGACAATATTTTTGTACTCCTGCAGCTCAATGAGAAATGCAGTGCGATGAATAGGGAGCTTCATTTAGCCTTCATTCAGCCTTCATCTGGAGCAGGCATATGATGTGTTCCTAAGGAAAGAATATGGCCAGCACTGAAAAGAGCGAGTATTAATGAATCCACGGTACAAGCAAAAGAACACTTGTATGAAAGCGATCCGTACAGAGTGAAGATTGGGAGCCGCCTTTTGGAACCATTTTCTGAAACCAAAGGGCTGAAGCAGGAGTGTTGTATGTCTCCAACCATTTTCAAGATATACTTGGATGAGGTAGTGAAGTAATGGATGAGACGAAGTCGAGACTACGGAGTTTAGTTTGGTGACGAGCTCCTTATCCTGTTCTTCGCAGACGATCAAGTAGTGATGGTCCGGAAGAAAGTTTTCCTGGAGATGGTGGTTGTCCAATTAAAGAAAGTTTATGAAGAGGCAGGTCTCAGGATAAACTTTCAAAAGACTGAGTATATGGACTGAGAGATGAAGAAGACGATTTACGCCCCAAAACCACGTGGATGGAAGGAGCCCGAGAGGAGATGGCCGGCCGAGGTCTACAGGAGGGTGACTGGGGGGATAGAGATGTGTGGAGCTCTGCTCTGACTTGAAGAGCTATCCCACGGTGGAACAAAGGAAATAAGTAAGTAAGTAAAGCGTTTCTAACAAGTGTAAATCAAATTGATCCTAGTTCCATTATTGTAAAAAATTCTACCAAAATAACATTTTTATATTAGTTTTGAAAACGCATCTTCTAAGTGGTCTTACATGATAGATTTTTATTCACCTTGCCTCGGTTATTTAAAAAAATTAACCATCTCACATTATTCAGAGTTACTAAAAAATGCTAAATATAACTTTTAAAGAATTTGATAATGCTTATCCAGGTCGAAAATGAATAAGGTGATATAGCAAAATAAACTTTTTAAAGGATACAATATTCCTATCATTATTGAAAATAAAGACATTATTATGACTTCATGGATGTTCAAAACTAGGTAACATATAATTCAAAATAATAAATTATTAGTTTGTTATTATTAATTTTTTTTTTTTATAATAATAATAATAATGCTTAATTTATTCTGGGACGAGTCCCTTTAGAATAATACAGAAAGACAAAAATGTGGGCTAAGGAGCCTCAGAGATACATAAACAAAAATATAGTGTAAGTGAATAGTCAAATTAAAGAAAAATAATAAAAGAAACGATAAGTTACTTTCTAATTTAAATCAGTTAATAATAAAAAAAAATAAAAAATGAAAAATTGAAAATAAACATAAAGTAAGAATAATGAGGAACGATCTGATAATTTATATACATATTTACAGTAGTAACAATTTACAATTTTATGAGGACTGGATGGGTAAGAAATGATTGAACAGGCGGGTTTTAAAGGTAGGAAGGGTTTTGGATTGACGGATGTCGGGGGGATGGAGTTCCATAGGGATGAGGATCGGATAATCTGTCGAAAGCAGCAGTTCGGTGGACCCTTATGTATACATCAGAAGACCGGGAACGAGTATTGTGGGAACGGACAGAAGATTTGAATTGAAGGAGCTCGGAGATGTATGAAGGACGGTGTGATTGGATGACCTGAGAGAGGAAGGATGCCAGGAAATACTTACGACGGTAGGAAGGATAAAGCCACTTTAACTCTGCATAAAAACGGGAAACAGAGGCGTCCCTTGGGATCCCGAAGATGAATCGTACAAAGCAATTTATCAAACGTTTTAATTTTGCCTCGAGATCCCCAGAGACGCCCCCATATACCGTACAGCAATAGTCAAAGTGGGGAAAAATTAAGGAAGTTACTAGGAGCCTACGGATTTCAAGGGGAAATAGGTGACGGGAATAATTTAGACGTTTTAAGGTGGAAATGGTACGGCGGGAGATGATCATAATGATCATATGATGAATCATATATATGATTTTTCCAGGAAAGCGTTTGATCAAAGATCATTCCAAGGTTTTTGATGGAAGGATAGAATTTGATGGAATTATCATGTAGGAACAGAGTTGGAATATTAGGAGCAGTTCTAAGGAGGTGATTGGAGCCTATTAAGATTGCCTTCGTATTTTCTGCATTCAAATTCAACTTGTTAACTCTCGCCCAGTCACAAATCCTATCTAAGTCTTCTTGGAGTTTTTTTGTGGCTGATAATAGGTCGGTGGGCGGGAAGGACAGGTATATTTGGAAATCATCTGCATAGATATGGTATTGGGAGTGATGGATCAGGAGGGGAAGGTCATTAATATAAATAGCAAACAGAGTAGGAGATAGAGAGGAACCTTCAGGGACACCACAGGAGGGGGTTTTAGATGGAGGTTGACCTGGGACAACTACGTACTGGGACCGATTTGAAAGGAAAGATTTGAACCAACGGAGAAATATACTGCTTATTATTTAAATGAATTATGTAACAATCGTAATTTTATGAAGGAAATAATAATTATGCAGGAAATAATGAATATACTGTCTTACATTTTATACTCGATAAAAATTGAAAATATTTTTTTAATATTATGGTAACAATTTAAAAAAAACATTTATATAGAAAATTAAAAAAAAAGAAAAGACATACATATAATCACAGTTTTATGAAGGAAATAATAATCATACTCTCATAAAATTTGTTTTTCTTAATTTCTAATTTTTTTATTCATGAAATTGTATTTCGGTGAAATGTATTTTATTTTCTATTTATCTTCAACACACTTCTCGCTATGTGTATATATTTGTATATTTTATTTTATTTTTTCTTCTCCTAATCTTTACGCATAATCACTTAAATATCTTAGGGAACATATGTATATCATTTTTTTTGTTTTTACAATTTCTTTCCTTACATATTAACAGTTATTTTTTTTTTTTTAATTTTTATATTCCATTACTAGCTTTGCCTATAAAATTGATTTTGCGTTCCTTTCTAATTTCATTCAGTGATTATTATGCTATTGTTTTAGCTCCAATATTGTAGTACTGAACCCCTATTACCCAACTGTTCTCGTTAATTTACACTAAGACCTTAATTAATACTTAATTTATTACTAGTATTTTGTTATTATTCATTGTAATAAGTCTTTTGGCCAGATTTATGGTTAATTTATATGAACAATACTGTTATTCTAAAGGGACCTAGTCTCAGAATAAAGATGATTTTTCTAAAAAAAAAAAAAAAAAAAAGAAAAAAAAGTAGATATAATTGCAATTTATTTGTTTATACAGCAACAGAAGTCAAATATTACATATTAATATAAATAATAACACACTAAAAATAATTGTAAAACAAATCTAAATTTCATTTATAAAAGTATACCTTTGTATACGTCAGCAAAAGTCATGTATGAGCTACTAAACTGGTCCATCGTCTTACTTCCCCCAATACGTCATAATCTTGTACAAAGATGAGGTTCTTCTTATGAGCTGCAACATTGTTACCAACGACCGAAAGTGGTGATAACCGAGCTGAGCTGTTACTGGTAGATTAAGCTCAGATCACTAGGGGATCCAGGATTTAATTTTGGGGGGAGGCTTCTGCCTGAAAGCTTTTTTTTTTGCATATATATAAGTGATAATTTCTTTGGAAAAACAGAAAGATTTTAACTACCTATATGATTTGGTATTTAAGTGATTCTTGAAATCCTATTAAATGTAATCACATGAACAGCAATACTTTAAGACACAATTTTTCTATATTTTTAACTATAAAACATGGTAAATCCCATAAATCACTCTGTGGCTCAGATAACTGAATCTTGCTTAAAACTGGGAGTTATGCAACTGGCCCTAAGTCATATTAACAAAACTAAACAATACAATTTTATATCCCCAATGTTTAAAATTAAATTATCTGTCATTAAAGAAGTGTGTGTGTGCGAAGAGATGTGATCTATTGTATCTCTCCCTGGTTGAAAGTAATTTTGGTATTTGCCAATATTTCTCTCTGCCCATGCCATAATTCTTGGGTTTATGGCAACTGAGAGAACCTTGTAGACAGTGGATAGGGGTGCGATACCTGGATAGTTTTGGCAGTTTAACCTATCTCTCTTCTTATGTATCGGACACAAAACTGCCACATTCCAGTCCTGTGGCATCTTCATTTCCATCCAGACTTCATATATAAGATTGTATATATTTATATGTTTAACTAAATATCTAATTTTATCAATTTAATGATGGTATTAGCATCAAAACGTTGGCTTCGCTAACCCTTTTATTTTTATTGGCATCAATTTATTGAAGAAAAAATAAAGCCCTCATAATATCTAGATATTTTTCTAGAAAAAATTGGTAATATCATAGACAAAAAAAAAATGAGATAACTGTGTTTTGATTCTGAGGAATTTGTCAAATTACTGCTTTATATCTTTCACCTAAAGATTTGCTGTTTACCCACAGCATTCCTCCTTTCAATTTTAACTCTTAGCTGCATGATTTTTTTATGTTCTAATCTATGTATAATTGTATTCATTATCCAGATTTTTTCACTGTCCAGACTAGAGCAATAGATAATCAAAGATCTACTGTAATAAATTCATAAGCAAGTAATTCAAAAAGTGTATTATAAAATGCGATACTACTTTAAAAAGATGGATGATTCTTCTATATCCTTTCCCCCCCTCTCCCACTAGAGAAGGGAAAACATTTTTATGAAATACACCAACATGCATACATTTCATATATGTATTGATATTGACTTGAAGGTTTTAAATAAAATACAAAATATTTCTGACAGGAGAATAGATCTTTTTAATATTTATATATTTTTAAAAAATACAGGTTATCATTGTGTAATTTCATTAGTATTTGTTAAAATTAGTAGACACATTACATTAAAATGCTCTAATAGCCAGATGGGAATGAATACATAAATAAATGGCAGTATATTTGGCAGTAAAATATATGTAATTGGGAATTCTCCCCATACATAAATATATATATATAATATATATAAATAAAATATATACATGTTTTCAACCTGTCAGATCGTTTCGTTCAATTTCGTATCTTCCATGATGTTAACAAAATCTGCCTTTACTCAGGCCTTAGTGACTGGCTTTATTGGCATAACTATTGCATTTTTGTACACTCCTCCAAATTATTATTTTTTTCAAAGTTGTACATAAATTTCAAAATTAAACCACTACTCTGAACGTGATTATAATTAGTTTCAGTCAAATAAAATTGATTACTAATGAGTAATGCAATAAAATTAAAAATAAAATATAATCAGCATTAACAATAAACATCTATTAACTAACTAAATAAATAAATATATATAAACATTTATAAATAAGAACATTAAATACAACTTAAAAGGAAAAAAAAAAACAAACTTGATATTACTTTTGTAAACAAAATATAATTGGAGGAAAGGTGGGTTATATGACAATTTATATAATAATAAATGTAATAAAAATATACAGTTTTATGAACTCAATATTTTTTTTTTTAAATAATAAATTCATAGCAGGAATTTTTAACTATGCCATAGTTGATCACTTAACTGTTAGAAGTATTTATCTTAATAAATAAACAATAGTTTGATAAAGCAATATACTTTAAAAGAAAAAGAAAACAATAAATAACAAAACATATTTAAAATAAGATTTGATTGAACTTATTATAACTATTTTATAGTCAATATACATAAGCATTACAAATATTTTTTTATAGTTCAGAACAGTTGGAAGGTAACTCATCTCATATCAACATTTTTATTTTCAATTAAATTATATTAGAGCGTCATGACAAGAATCACACCTATATAAAATTTTGAAAACCCTATTATCATCATCTACAGTACTTTAAACCCAATGATTTATATATCACAACCTTTCAATTTTTTGAGCAATTTCGTTCGTTCGTTTATTATCTTCAACAATTATTGTAATTCGAAAGTTTACAAATAGTATAGGATGATTGTTGTCAAATGAACACAGGCAAGGCCTACAAGAGTATTACGATACACTATCATAGAAAATATATTTTAACCATAATCTACATTTTTAGACAAAGGATATGTAAAAATACATTTTTATTATTTCAATTCATTTTTACACATTAATTTATTGTTCCGTGTGGGTAGATGGGAGTGAATGGCTTTAGGAGCATGACAATAAATAAGTGAAGAAGGGTCTAATGAATCCAGAATATACATGACTAGAGGTCTGACTCGCCATAGAGAGCTGTAGAAAATGACATGTAGTCCAAGGCACCAGGAATACCATTAGGTCCTTTGTAAGGAGGCATCCTCTTAATACAGTACTCAGCCTGGTCAGGAGGAAGTTCTCTCCTAAGTTCATCCGGCAGGATATAAGGCTATAAATAAATTAATTAATTAGATTAACGAAAAATAAAACAAAATTGACTAATTTTAATTATTATGTATTCATTCACTTACATTTTCTAATATGACATTGATTACAAAATATAAAATATGATTAACCTATACATCATCTGCACTATCAGATTCAGTAAAAATGTCATTAAAATTAGCAACATGATGTATATAGATTTATTTAAGATTTTCAAAGATATTTTATAAGACTAGATGTGAAATATTCACAATGTGAAACTAATCACCTTGTCAGCAGCCAAAATGCGGAAGGAGTCAATGACTTGTTCAGCCGTGTCTGTGTCTGTAGATTCTCTAGTCATGAAGTCTAGGAATGCATCAAAGTGTACATACCCAGAGCTGTTTGGATCCACAACAGCTAATATTCGCTGGAAATCTATTTCACCCTAAAAATATCAAGGTTTTCTGTTAGTACCTCTGACCATTCACTTTATTTTAATAGACACTAACTATTTTTTAATCATTCCAATATGGTTGATTGAATAATTCAAAAATTATTGAGCCAGAAACTATTAATTTATTTAGTTCACTTTGAATAAGTATAATTATAGTAAAAAAGAAACATCTCTGTTCCAAGAAAAAAATTATGTCAGTCTATACTTCTTAATTTATTGATAGATAATATTGACTTAAATGTAAGTATTAGCAGGCTCAACAGTCTAGTCTAAAGGCTTTAATTTTCAAACATAAAGAGCTTGTGTAATTAGTAATTTTTATTTTATTTTTCTAAATTTTTAAATGTTTTTGAATAAAAATCTTTTAAATTTCTGGCATATGTTTAATGATTGAATAAAGTGTAAAACCATAAAATGAAAAAACCAGGACACGCATAGTGACTTTTTGCACATAACCTTGCAAGTACATAGAATGCGAATTAGACTTACCTCACTTAGTTTTTTTACCATCTGATCAATTTATCCTGTCAAAGAAGTCACCAAGTACCAGACAGTGAATTTTAGCATTTTACATTAACCACATTTAGTGAACAAGAATTTCATTACAATAAAAGCTTGATGACTTTTTGCTGTTTATAGTCAGAACACGGTGTACTTAGTGAAGTTATTTTTTACATACAAAAGGATTTGTATTATTTTTATGCACTTAATGAGTTATTTTATCCAGAAATATGACCGAAATTAATATCTAGGTACCTTCAGGTTTAAATCGACCAAAAGTATACTTAGTTATTTTTTGCAATAAACTGATTTGTGCACATATAGTCCAGTCAATGAATGCTAGGAAAAGGGGTATAGAAGGGAATGGTGGCACAACAATTTTTGACTTAGGGACATTGTTTGTACTAGTAAAGAAATAAGTATACTAAAAGTCCACACTACTAGATAGTGAGCTGGAGGAGGGAACACCTAGATCACTTTTTTCAGGTTTTCGCTTATATCAGGAAAACTATCCATTGCATCAACAAAGATGTTCTATACAAAATTAAAGCTGATAAAATTTTCTATATGATTGACAATATACTTTTTTTTTCCGCTAAGTTTCTGAGATATCCATCCTCAGCTATTGATCAGTTATAACTTTCCATGTCGATTCTGAGAATTTGCAGAACAAAATAATTTTTATAATAAACTTTATTGTATGTATGTATATGAACACATATAAATTAAATTTATAGAGAGTTAGAGCAATATAATAACAAATATTATAAAAAAAAAAAAATTTTCAGCAAATTCTCAGAATTGACATAAAAAGGTATAATTGATCTAACTTTTGAACCATTGGAGATAAACTAGTAAAATAATACATATTCTTCAAGAAAATTTAATTATTAAAAACCTTCTTCTTCATGACTTAATTGTAGAAAGAAGCAATCAAGAGTTAGCAAGTCAAATAAAGTAAAAAAAATATGAGGTAAATTTTTTTCCACATCAGCAATAGTTGAAGAAGGATATCTCGGAAATAGGGCTTTAATTTTATATAGAACTTCTCTGTGTTGGTGTGATGGATAGTTTTCCTGATATAAGTAAAAACTCGTAAAACAGCAATAAACACGAGGAAACATTTTTTTCTTTAAAATTAGGCATAGTTGAGGACGGATATATCAGAAACTAAGCGAGATAGCGAAAAAAGATACATAATCAATCATATTTCAAATGTTATCAGCTTTGATTTTGTATAGAACATCTTTGTTGATGGATAACTTTCCTGATATAAGCGAAAACCCGAAAAAAAGTGATCTAGGCGCCCTTCCCCCTCCCCCACATGTGGCTCACCATCTAGGAGTGAGGACTTATAGCATGTTTACCTCCTTGCTAGCCCAAACAATGTCCCAAAGTCAAAAATTATGTCTCTGTCATTTTCTTCTATAATTATTCATTGATTGGACTAATAAGCTAGTACATTTTTTCTACAATAAATGAGCTGATTAACCTTACACTTTTAATTAAATCAATCCAATTAATACTCAATTAATAATAATGTAATCCATAAATTATGAGATTATTTGTGGATTGATGGTTGACTATAGTGAATAATTAAAGAGAATAATGGTTGGGGTGATCAGTAAATTAATAACAATGATTTTGACTGATCACCCCAACCATGCTTCTCTTCAATTATAAGGTTGTTTATATTGAAGATAATATAAATCTATTATTAGTGAAATATTGCTTTATGATTCAGATTTATGTAAGAATATTGATTTATTTATTTCAGTAGTAATTGGATAAATCAAAGTTAAGTTACTAAAAACTAAATACTTGCCTGTCTATCTTTTCCAATGCTGTACCCAAGGGACACCAAACATGATTTGAACTCATCTGGTGCAAGTTGCCCAGTTCTATTCTTATCAAAGTGATTGAAGGAAGCTCTAAATTCATTTAATTGCTCTTGGGTAATACCTTTAGAATCACGAGTAAGAATCTGATTTTCAACCTCATTAATATTCCTATTAATTGAGGTCAATAACTGTTCCCAACCAACACGCAATGTTTCCATGGTGAATTGAGTGTACCTATAAATAAATTTAAAATTAACTTCAATCTTTATTAAGCCAATTATTTAGTATCTTGCCACTTAAAATTAAAACGTTACCTATTCTCAAAGATCATTCCTTCTTGCACAGCTTGGTGAATTTTCTCCAATTCTTCAATATGAGGTTTGTATGCAAATACTCCCTGCTCGTATTCCTTCAGTCTATGAAGTTGATCTTCAAGAGATCCCTTAAACACATAACACTCCTTGAGTAATTTCTTTTATCACTGACTTTTATTGTTTGAAAATTTGTTATACATTAATGATTTCAATCAATAAAACAGTAAGATTACCTGCAGACCCATTCCAATGGCAGTAACAGCATCCATTTGCCTTTCAATCCAAGGTCCGACCTGATTGGCTTTTTCAGCAAACTGCCTTCTTAACATTTCATTGTCTATTTTACAATGTTAAGGAAAATTGTGATTTTAGAATTAAAACATATTTCTATTCTCTTCTAGGATAAATGATCAGGCACAGTGCTGCCTTCTTAAACCTAGAAAGCATATCTTAAAAACCTTTAATAGTCACAGGAAACTGAGATATTACAATTTTCTCAGTCAATTGATGAAATGAAATGAAACATATTTTATTTCTGGAACTACAGTCCCCAAAAATAAAATTGTGTGTGTGTAAAATAAAGTGTGTAACATGTTTATCATTAAAGAACTACTGTTGAAAAAAAAAATGAATAACTATTGACTTCGAAATGTTCTAAAAAAATTGAATAGAACTATTAACATTATAAAAATAACTAGCCATATGTTAATTAAACCAATTATTCAAGATATCTGAGAGTTGAGACCAATTAATAAAGTTTCTAATAAATAATTAGACATATCTTTATTGACAATAAAGGTAGCACAGCAAACCACAATATCTTTAAAATCAGGAAAATTGAATATATCGATAGCCAAAGATATATCCTCAAATTTATTAGTTTAAAATTTTGCAGCTTAGTAATCGAAGAAAAAGGTCTCAAATGGAACTATTAATTCTATTTTTCAGCTGCACTCTACCAAAACATAGGAAAATCTCATCAACTTATTTTGTGATTGATTGAAGAGTCATTGTGACGGAACTGCTGTTCACCAACTATTATTCATTTCCTTGTTACGATGTAATTAGTTAATAGTAAAGAAAACTATTTCTTTAATAATGTTTCTTTTTTATTAAATTACCATCAGATAATAACCATTATTATTGCATATTGGTAAAGGATACTCTGTTGTTTTCTAAGTTCAGCTTGGAGGGTGGAATCTCTTTGTGGAACTAATTGCCGTACCTCAGTCCATTTCCTTGTTAGATCCTATAAATTAAAAAAGAAATTGATTAAAAAAAGTAAGTTTGTAAATAGATAAAGTTTCTATGATTGTTAGAATTTAAACATACATTAGCAGTAAGTGTAGTATACGGATTCTCAAGGCCACCAGGGATATGATATTTGTGGACTGTGGCTTCAACTTCCTTCACAAGACCAACAATGGATGTATATTCTTTATCTGCTTCACCAAGAGTTGCTTTGAATTGTGAATGAGCTTCAAGAAGACCCTGAATCTCTTCCATGGTATGAACAATAAACATGTCAACAAGATCCTCCCTTGTTCCATCCAACCAATTATTGAAAGGCTATAAATATAAAAAATAAATACAAAATTGAAACAAACAAACATATATATATATATATATATATATATATATATATATATATATATATATATATATATATATATATAAATAAAATAAATAATATATTTTGTCAAAACCATAAGAAATCAAACTTACAGCTGCTCTCTTAGCAAACTCAAGATGAAGAATATCAATTTTTTCAAGAATTTTCTCAGCTTCATCAAGATTTTGTCTTCTCTGCTGAGTAAGCGAACCAAGCCTGTCCCATTGATCACAAATTCTTTTGCATCTGTTGTTTACTGATTCACAATCATGATATCGTAAAGAACTGGAGAAAACAAAAATCACTCTAAGTAGAACAATATTTTTAAAAGGGATTATTGGACAAGATAAAACAAGAAATTAATAAGAAAAGATAATGATATTGACAAGTTTGTATAAGTGAGAAACAGAGAACTGCATCTCGCAGATTCAGCAAGGCCATGGACTTCGCATATATTGCTTTCCTTTTTTTTAAAAACCATTACAATAACCTCCATTGTTTATAGTACTATTATATTATATATGACTAGGAAGTTCTGACCTTGTAACATGTATGAATAGTGATATATTCTATTTAATGGGACTGTTATTATGGGATATTGAATGGTTTAAAAAGGAAGAAAGCTAATTCCAGATATTCTTGTTTGCATAATCTTCTAACACATTAATTCTCACATTTAGAATGTGGAAACTGTGAATAGAACTCTTTTTCAGCGATAAACTATTATTACCGTCTCTGAAGTCATGTTACTTTTTAATTTACACTTCTAATTCCTTGTACTGTTCAGGTAAATGATCATTTTTAATATAATAATATAATAGTCGATTTTCCATAATAGATTTTTCCTTGACAGTTTGAAAAAATATTTAACAGGATTTTTACATTGTTCATATAGATAAAAAAAAAATTAAATCCAGATTGCAAAATGCTAAAAATGTATATATTAAGCTGTTTACATAAACCAAAAAGAAAATTTTATTCCTCATTAACTAAAATGTGCACATACTATATATGTAACCATTTCAGTTAGAAAAGCAAAACAAAATACATACTTGAGTTCTCCAGCAATTGCAGCTATTTGCTCCACCCTATCTTGATGTGCAGCTAGGTCACTTTCAAATGCTTCATGCTTCTTCTTCAGGGCTTTCAGTTCATTTAGTCGACACTGCCTAAAGTCGCCAGACTGGAGCATTTCTTCTTTGCCCCTGGTCCATTCCTCATGAATGTCTGCCTTGTGCTTGAATTTTTGGGCCAAATGTTCTAATCTCTCCAACCTAAGAATCAAAGAACAAAGGAGATGTAGGGAGAGAAGACACTATCTTCTTCATCAATAACTAATCAAATAAGTTTTTAAAAGTGAGAATATATATTTATAAATAATGCCAAGGTAAACTAGTACGATATATATATATACATACATATGACTTTCATGAAATTAATAAAATTATTATTTTTACTTTCATTTTTTAAATAGTGGAACGATTTAAAGCATTAAAAAAGAACTAATCTTTTCAAGTTTGAAATAAAGTTGGTTCATCATTTCCTGTTAGTAATATCGGTTACCTAATTAGGTTAGTATTTTCAAATCTTAATTTTAAGTCCCGTTTACTAAGAATCCAAATATAGGCCTGTACTTTATTTAATGGGAAATATTTTTTTAAAAATCTGGTGTGTGCTCACACGACTATCTTATCAATTTTATAAAAGTTTTTATATCTTTTAATATGTCCTTTAAAAAAGACTACAAAAAACAGTTGAATTATATCAATTTTCCTGAAAATTGAACATAGGAAAGATTTTAGTACGGTTTCCTTGATAAAATAAAGCACTATAAACTACCTTGTGGAACATCATTAAAATCACCATAAAAATTTCAATACAATCTTGGAGAATATTGAAATCTTTATGCTGACTTTTTATAAATAAATAAAGTTTTTTATTTTAACAAAGCAACATTGCTAATCAAAAACGTTCTTTCTCTTTCTGGCACTGAAATTTGAACTCGCTATCTTTGGTTTATCAGATTACCTGGTATGTATTGGGTTGACTGGAAAATAATGTAGGATTTTGAGTTTTATTTAAAATACCCCTCTATATAACAAACTGTTTGTTTACTGGATTATTTACTTGTATGAATAACAACACTTAATCATTCCGGTAAACAAACGATAATGTTTGTTTAACTCTGTAGCATTTTGCTGCTTAGAAATAATTCAGTCTTTAGTAAGATGTGAATGTGTGATTTTCGTATGATTTTGTTTTAAGAGTTTAAACTCGGCCGGAATGGGGCCCAGAAGACCAGAAACATCAATCAAGTCCGGGGCAAGAGCAGCATTAATGTGTGCATTGTTTGACGGTGGTTAAAAAAATTTCAGGGGAGGGGGGACTTCTCGCAGTGAATACAAAGAAGGTCATGGAAGGACTTCCTCTCTTGATGACGATGTTCTGTGGGCTTTGGTGGAAGAAAACCCCAGAACAACTGTCCAAGAACTTACAGGGAAACTTAACCTTAGCAAATCAACTGCGGATGACCAAGTTTGAGCTGCACATCTTTGCCGAAACAAAAACAACCCTTTTCTGTCCAGAATTGTTATTTGTGATGAAGAGTGGATACTTTACGATCACGAAGGAGAAGCAGCAGAACATTTTCCAAAGTACGCAACTCATCAAAAAAAGGTGATGTTTACTGTTTGGTTGGCTTTATTTGGTTTGATATACTACAGCTTCTTAAATTCTGGAGAAACCATTAATGCCGAATCGTATTGTAACCAAATTAATACAGTGCATCAGATCAATTGCCAATAATGAAGACATCTTTGGTCAATCGGAATGGGGCCTATTATGTTGCATGACAACACCCGGCCACATGTCTCACGTGTGACGTCACAAAATTTGTTGCAGCTTGGATAGGAAACTCTGCCACATCTGCCCTACTCTCCAGACCTCTTGTATATGGATTATCATTTTTTAGACACCTGAACCACTACTTATGTGGCAAAAAATTTAATGGACAAAGGGAATTAGAAAATGCGTTTTTGGAGCTTATCAATTCTAAAGATGAGAAATTCTATTCCGATGTAATGGAAAATTTGCCAACACAATGGAAGAAGTGTATTGATAATAGTGAAGACTATTTTGATTAAATAAAACAATAAATAAATAAAATAAAACAGCGGTAAATCTTTCTTTTTTTTCTTTTTAAACCAAAATCCGCATTATTTTCCAGACAAATCAATATAAATATATACACACACCGTGGGTAGTATGTATATTTTGTTTTTGTATAACTTATTTTTTATTTCTCTTATTGTCTTTATAACTTTTTTTCTGAATTTTCTCGGGAATTTAGTACTTTTAGTCAACCTACATTAAGGCAAATAAGGTAAATCCAAACTTTTCCTACCAGGAAACTATTCAATATTATTAATATAATTACTTTAACTAAAAATATAATCCAATAAAAATGATCTTTATGAATAATACCTCATCATTTCAGAAAGAAGCCACTCTTCAAATGATTTTTCAGCCAGTTCTAGTCCTTTCCATGCGTTGGCAATATCCTTAATAAACATTTAATAAGTGATAATGCTATTCGATTTGATGTTGCAAAATCATAAATAATTTTTTTTCCTATACATACCGAAACCATTTTGCCTTCAGTTGGCATGTACGCTGGCCTATTAGAAAGGCGTAATTTTGTTTGTAAGGTATTAAAGTTAGTTTCTAGTTTAGCTTTCTGTTCTACTCTCGGTGGTTTTAGTTTTCTCCTGTAAGTTCTATATTCTTCCAATTTTTTCTGCACACCAGCTAATGAATTGTCAGTCACTCTAGACTCTAACCATGGCATTGTACGACGAATCCATTCAAGAAGCTGTAAGAGAGAATAGAACATTATGACATTAGTCAAAATTTTTGTGACCATAAGAATAAAACATATAGCCATTATATAGCTAACAGCTTACTCAGCCATATATAAATTTTTAATTTGATTAAATGATACTGAAATTCATCATTACAAAAATTTTAAAAAAGGCTTTTAAACAAAACTAAAATATCAGAAAGCTAATCAACATAGTAGACTCACATCACTAGCAAGGCGTTCGTATTCTTCCATCAATCGCTCATTTTCTTGATTTACTTTAAGAACCTTACATATTCTATTGGCAGCAGTTTCAGCCTATTTTAAAACAAAATTCTATTAGAGAAATTTTAATATTAACTTAATAATTTTCTTAAACAATAAATTTAAATTAAATTAATATGATTAATGATAAACAGTTACTTCTAAAGTTAATGCAATAAAGTACACAGCATAAGTTAACTAATAAGGTAAATAATGTATTAAACGTCAAAAAGCAATAAGCAGTTTTGTAGCAATTAATTAAACAAACAATAATGGTAGCTACTGATGAATAAGTTATAATACAATTGCTTATATAATTAAAAGATTTATCATAGAATGAATAATACAAGCAAAGTACATATTCTATGCAAAGAAGAAAGACACAGTCCGTATTATAAGCTAGAAGGTTAAAAGAAAGTAAAATAGCCAAATATAAACAGTACATAATTGTTCTAAATAATTGTTATAAGAAATACCTTCTGAGCTCCTGAGAAGCAGTGGTAATATGACGAAACGTAGGTCATAATGACACGTTCGTCAGGCATTGCTGTATTTGTCATGTCTGTTCCGGTCAGCGAGACAGAAGAGAAACAGAAAAGTTGCAATCAAATTAATCACACACACTGTTAGTAAACAAACAAGACTGACATATATTAACATTAGAAAAACAATAAAACAGAGATAAAAGCATTCTAATAAATTATTTAAGTTTACCGAAAAAGAATAATACCTGATGTCAAAATTTAAAGCACCAGATAATCAACAAAATAATTACCAATTTTGAGATTAATTTTACTTTTGCTTACCCTTATTTTTTAAAGAAAATAAAAATTTTATTTAAATACATTTATGAATAGTTATCTAATCTGAATTATTGAATAAAAGCATTCTTTATATTTTCATTCTGTCTTATGTGTGATATTTTTATAAATTTTCAAGTAAAAGAGATGGGTTGTGACAGCCTCTAGAGTTATCGGCAATAAATTGTTCCACGACAGCTTTAATACAAAATTAGTAGTGTAAATTTCAATGAAAGAAGATTTACATCTTCTAACATAACAGAAGAGAAAAAAAATGTTAAAATATTACAATGTTTCATTATAAATTCCAAAGAAATAAGAAGTTTTAAACAAATTCAAGGATTAAAAAAAAATTGGATTTACTAATTAAATTCCTGAAACAATAAAGACAAAAAGATGTTGGCCAGGAAGTGAATATACTCATTTTCAAGACATATATAGAGCCGGTGTGACTTTCAATAATCTTATAAATCAAGGGTCTAACTTGAGTATTGAGAACAGAAAAAGTGATAAGACCTAAACAACATTTGCTGATAGTAATTAAAATACTATTGGCTTCAAATTAAGGGATGAGGATTCTTTCCAAAATAAAATTTAAATAGCTTGTCATTGATTTTACAAAATATTTTTCTACAATTTATAACCAGGCATTTATCAAAGTTGTGTAAGCAAAAATAAAATTGTTTAAAAAAATGAATAATATAATACATTATCTAAATAATGTAATGCATCCTAAAGACACTTTGAAAAAATTTAATATAAGTCAGTCAGAGATGAAAAAATCCACTCAAAACAGTTAAAACAATAAGCAAGTTTTCTTTTTTTATTTCAAAGTAACTAATAAAAGCTCAATGCATCATTTTTATTTTTGGATTCGGGGTCACACTGGATACCTGTTGAGCGCCTTGGAAAGCGTGGTAATAGCATGAGACGTACGTCATAATAGCCCTCTCATCCGGTTTGGGCGTGTTGATCAAATCTATATTAATATTAATAAATTTAATAACACTTAGTTTTCTAATAAAAATATACCCATAAAAAAAAAGTAATTGAAACCAAATAAATATTTTAAGGAAAAATGAATGATAATTAACAATACAAACTTTTTTATTTCATAATTTTGCGTGATTTGCAAATAAATGAAATTAGGATTTAAATTAAACAATCAAAATAATTCTATTCAAGAAAAGTAAGATGGTTAAATGAGTATTTATAGTATATTACTCTTATAAGAACAGATATTAAACAGTTGCACAGATTCTGCCAGATAGGGAGCAATAAAAGTATTTTTGACAAGAAAAAATTAAAGTATTTAAAACCAGGTAGATTTAATGTAAAAACTAGTAAATTTTTACAAAAACCCATGACTAACTTTAAGGAATATTATTTCAGAGAGGATAAAATTGATTTCTGGTAAGAAATTTATAAATAAATAAAACGAATCTCACCTTCTGGATCCAACATACGAGGAATATCCAAATATTTTTCAGCAACATCGAAGGCTGTGTTCAAGTTTTGCAGAGGGTTGTCTTTGGAAAGCTTATTATAGTCAATCAAATCTGGTCGATGACGGTGGATGAGAGCACAGAATGCCAGACCATCCTTGAAACTAAGAGAAATTCCAACAATTATTGAATTGATAAAATAATATGTAAAAACACACTTTTAAAATTCATCAAATACATTTTAGCATCACTCTAAAATACTTGATACCATCCATTCAGTTTAAAAAAGTACATCTTCGGAGAAGTTAAACTTTTAAGCACACATTTAAGAAAATTTCAAGTACATATTTAAGAATTTGATTAATATTTATAGCTGCTAAAACACAATGTGTTAGAATTAGATGCCGGAGTCAAGAGCTCAAAAACTACTCTATTTCCCAGGATTATACATTAAAATAATTATTTTTCTTTTAGAAACTTTCATCTTGAGATGATACTTATCTCTAAAAATAGATATGCTTATGCTAGTCAAATGATAATATTATAGGCTGCAGAACATTGGATTAGAATTACTTTTGCATCATACTATTTTCTGCGGAGTAATTTAAGTAAAACAGTTTTTGAACTAACTAATTTTATGCACTGAAACATACCTCAAATGGAAATTTTGTACATTGACATTCTTATACGGAGCTGTCTTTCTTTGACACCATAACAAGAGACCTTCTTTGGCAGTCATTTCTTCCACAGAAATATCTTGGATGGCAAACCTTAGGATGATAGTCCAGATCATACCCAGAGTCATTTTTAAGTTGCCATCAACAATTTCTAAAATTCCCAAATGGTATTAAATCACATAGAACACAGCTACCACCACAATGTTATATTGTAATTAATTAAATCCCAATACATCATAAAAAAAATGGCAAACATAAGTTCAATGCTTAGGCTATTACGTACATATGTATATATACATGTATGGGATGCATATTTTTATGTATGTTATATATATTTAACTTAAAATGTTTCTATTCTTACCTTCAGCACCTATAGATACTAATTTTACACCCTTGCTGGCAATGAAGTCTAGGGCCTTGTTAACATTGGCAATCTTGTGGAAACGCATCTTTCCTCTGTCTGGTTTGGGTAGAGTTTCTCCAGAGATAACTTCTAATAGGAGCATCAGTTTCAAACCATTTCGAAAGTCTTCTTCTATGTTATCAATGGAAGTACCAGCTTTTCTCAAATGTGAATTACACCATGCAGTAAAGGTCTAGAAATTAACAAAATAATATAATTTTAAAATTTATTTTATTTTTTGTTAAAGAAAAATATGACATTCATTTTAAATAGACAACACAAGTTTCTTTTGAAATATATATATATACCTATAAACCTATAACCTGTACCACTACAACTCATGAAGGTTCTTGGGCTCAGTACTACATGAGGAAGTACTGTGACAAGGTCAACGGGAGGTGATACTGTGCAGGGAGGTGATTGAGCCAAACTCACACTCAACCACCAGATTTTCCCTCTTAATTAGATAGATAGATAGATAGAAAAATAATTTTATTCTGGGACACAGTCCCTTGAGAATAACAAAACAGAACAAAATTAAAAGATCACATCTGGCCAAAATAAAATCAAACGAAAAAAAGAAATAATGTAAAAAAAAATATAAGGTAAACATTCTATATAAAAAAAAACGAAACTATATACAAAACAATTATTACTACAAGGCACTTAAAGCTATTTGCACTAGTATACACTTTTAAGAAAATAATAAAGAATTAAAAAATAAAAATGTATCAATGAATCAATCAATGAATTTGTATGTATCGAATTCTCTATTCAACAGGAGGTGATACTGTGCAGGGAGGTGATTGAGCCAAAATCACACTCAACCACCAGGTTTTCCCTTTTAATTAGATAGATAGATAGATAGAAAAATAATTTTATTCTGGGACACAGTCCCTTGAGAATAACAAAACAGAACAAAATTAAAAGATCACATCTGGCCAAAATAAAATCAAACGAAAAAAAGAAATAATGTAAAAAAAAATATAAGGTAAACATTCTATATAAAAAAAAACGAAACTATATACAAAACAATTATTACTACAAGGCACTTAAAGCTATTTGCACTAGTATACACTTTTAAGAAAATAATAAAGAATTAAAAAATAAAAATGTATCAATGAATCAATCAATGAATTTGTATGTATCGAATTCTCTATTAAAATCAGCTCGAATGGTTAGCAACTATCTGACTGTTCTTGGGATAGGAATTGGAATAGGAGGATTTTGAATTTGGATATGGATGGGGAATGTCGAATTTTGATAGGCAGGGAATTCCAGAAATTGACAGAGCGAACAACAAAGGAATTTTGGAATGAGGCAGATCTGTGAGAAGGCATGTAAAGATTAGAAGGTCGAGATCTTGTGGACAGGGAATGGACTGAGGATTTGAACTGGAGAAGATTGTAGGCGTAAGAAGGACGATGACTGTTGATGATTTGGTAGAGGAACGTACCTAGGAAATATTGTCTTCGGAAGGAGGGGAAAAGCCACTTTAACTCAGCATAGTGGTGAGAAACATGGGAGTATCTTGGGGCCCCGATCACAAATCTTACACAGCTGTTCATTAGTCTTTTCAATCTATCTCGGAGCTCCACAGAGAGGCCATCATACACCACACAGCTATAGTCAAAGTGGGGGAAAATGAGAGAGGAAACTAGGAGTCTACGCGTATGTTGAGGTAGGAGATGGCGGAAGCGATGGAATAGTTTGAGGGTGGAAATTGTCTGTCGAGAGATATGAGAAATATGGTGATTCCAAAGGAGGTTTTGATCAATGAAAAATCCTAAGTTTTTAACAGAGGAGTAGAAGGAGATTGGCTGGTCATTAAGGTGAAGGATGGGAAAGTCTGGATGGGATCTAAGAAGGGGCTTGGAAGCAATGACAATGGCCTGAGTTTTGGCGGCATTTAACCTTAATCCATTTACATTTGCCCAGGCACTGATTCGATCTAGGTCTTCTTGGATCTTGGCAAATGCCCCCAGTAACTCAGGAGGGGAAAATGATAGGTAGATCTGTGAATCGTCTGCATAAAGGTGATGGGAACAATGGAGAATTGATTTAGGTAGGTCGTTAATGTAGGAGCTGAAAAGAAGAGGAGATATGCTTGAACCCTGGGCAACTCCAGAGGATAAAGAAAGGAAGGCAGATAGTGGTTGGTTGGGTATGGAGACTGCTTGGGTACGTTGTGAGAGGAAAGATTGAAACCAAGAGATGGAACTATTGGAGAAGGATAATAATTTCAGTTTGTTTGAAAAGGATGGAATGGTTAATGGAATCGAAGGCTTTGGAGAAGTCGAAATTAATTAATTATTTAATTAAGAGTACCCATTTTACAGAGGCTGGGTGGACTCCAGGATGGTTATTATTTATTAGTCATCAGCAGGAATCGAACATGGGACCTTGAGCTCTGGAAGTTAATTTTACATTTCTGTTCCTCTTTAATTATATATGAACAAACAGAAAATAAAAATGTAAAAGAGCATATTTTTTGAACGAGTAACAGAAATATTTTATATATATTCCATATTCCAAAAGAAACACTTCAATGAGCAAGTATATTAAACATCTGCGGGGTAAAGCAACTTAGTTTAAAGAATGATTGCATAATATATTTGTAGACAACATACAATCAAACATTTTTTCACATATCAAACAAAGCTTAGCATTCAATAAAAACTAGGTTAGCGATACCACCCCAAAAAAGTTCAAATATTGAAACAAAACTCTTTACAACCCATTGAGGGTTTAGGGTTGAGTTTTGTAAAGTACTGTTTCTTGATCAACTGTACTATTTCTGTGATTTGACCTAGATTATACCCAACCACCAGGTTTTTCCTCTTAATTAATTATTTATTAATCTTCAAAAGAACTTCATATGATAATCAATTATTTACTGGTAGGTCTTATCCATTATAGGGTTTGAGTGTAGTCTTAACGCACATTTTAAGATTTGTTTTTTTGGTTTATTATCTTCAATAATGAAGCTTAGTAAGCCACCAAGAAAAAAAAAATAAATTACTACCTTTCATTATCTGAGGTTTAGACTTAAAAGATATAAACTGAATCCCAACATTGAACTAATTAAAAATCTGTGAGTCCTCAGTAAAGGGCTGTGAACGTCTTTTGTGTGGGATATAGACATAGTTGTAAATTATGTCTTAATAACTTGATACCAAAAACCTAATGTTTTCAAGGCCAAGGAACACGAATATTATGTCGAAATGGAACTATTTCAATGAAAAGGAAACAAAATTGAAGAACTTCATATTATTATAATGAAATGTAGCACTAAAGGAAAGAAATTATGAAACTCCTCTCCTATTCTGTTTTGAGCTGGATAGGTCTTGGAACCTACTAAGAATTTGCTAAATTTTCACCTAATGGCTCGATACGTTTTTTTTACTATTTAAGAAATATTTACATCCTATGATTAATAAACTGTAATTTTCTTAATTTCAAATCAGCACTATAAAAAACAAACACCTAAGAGTATCACCTTAAGACGTTTCAAAAACTATTGGAAACAGGATTACCTAACAACTAATAGGAAAATATCAAAATCTAGAAACAAAAATACTAGAATAGTCAAATACCCATTTATATATTTGTTTGTCCCATAGTTAGTGAAATATCTAAAAGCACCTTATCATTAACTTTGAAAGTAAACATAAGATATAAATCTTTTTGGCGGAGGTAACCCGGAGATAAAATTGACAGTGAGATTTAATGTTAGAAGTGGATTAACCCTAATATTGAAAAACAAATATTCCAACTGTAATAGGTTGTACAACATGGAACTAGTTCAAGATAGAAATTAGAGATTTTTCGTTGATTTATGAAGCATTTTACTTATCATCACGCAAAGCCAGAGACCTTCAACGCTCAAACAAATGAATATTTCAGGCTGTTCTCAGGAAAATAAATTGCTGAACGAACATTGTAAAAATATTTTAAATATTATATATATATATATATATATATATATATGTATATATATATATATATATATATATATATATATATATATATATATATAAAGTATACAAGTATACAGTGCCTGTCCTTAGATATTGGGCATCCCATACCCCTAAAAAATATTTGAGTTTTATTTCATTCAACATTTCTCTAAAGCAGTAGCTTTATTGGGAGGCTAAAATTAATTATGTTAATAAGTTTTGTATTTTTTTTTTATTTCTAACAAGTGGCGAGCGCCCCTGAAGATCGACCAGCGCCCGTGCATGTCGGCGTTGCCCAGGTTGCTCTACCCTGATGTTGGCACTGTATGTATATATATAATACATATATACTATTAAATATATAACGTTTCCTCCCCGTTCAATATAAACAAGACCTCGTAACACAGTAGCTATTGTTACAACGCATACCTGTCCTCTTCCTACCTTAAAATGCCTAGCAGCAGGGCAAGGAATAAGCAGAAATGGACATGTATGTGAACATTTGTATATTAAAATCGTTGGAGGGTGAGCAAACAAATGTTATTACTGGTTCTAAAACGAATTTTTCGTTAATAGAATTCCTTTGGTTTTGATAGGTTAAAATTAAAGAGAGGACAGCTGTTGATGTTAAATAAGGTGAAAGGTTAATTTAGTATTGTCTTCCAAAAAAGTGTTAATTAAGTGTAAATACCTAATTTTTGTGTAACAAAAGTGTTTTATCAAGACAAGATTGCTAAGGACAAAACACCAAACAAAGATTGAGCGGATTTCACCGCCAACAATGGTGGAATCATCTCAAACTGAGGTAAGTAACATGAACTTTAAAAACAGTGATATAAACAATGAAGACGGCTCCTGGGAACTGGTTATTGGTCGTAAAAGACCTATGATAGATTCGAGCGAGCCAAGAGCTCAAAAAAGACCGACAGAATCTATCCCAACCTCGAACAGTTTTCAGGTTCTAACCAACATTACTAATTTACAAACAGAAGAAGTTAGAAGAGCGCCTCAAAACAATAAAACTCCACCAATTTTTATAAACGGTGTTGTAAATTACCATGCCTTAATCTCATTTCTAGAAAACGAAACGGGTCCTAATATGTTTAAAACTAAGTCTACATTGAAAGGTGTCACTGTGTACCCAGAAAATCCTGACGTTTATCGAAAATTAAATTCTAGCCTGCGAAATAAAGGCGCCGACTTCCATACCTACCAACTTCCACAGGACAAATGCCC